AAGGAGTGTAGTAGCCAGATTTTTACACTGTTTCTGGTATTTACCCCAAACACCTTCCTCACGTTTTATCTAACTCACAAAGCTAAGCTTCTAGCAGTTTTGTTGGTTCTGTGAGTCCATATTCCTGGTTCTGTGTGATTATCTAGGAGTAGACATTTGACTCTAGATGGGCTAATGAGATGCTCTTTCCCAGTAGATAAGGCTTAGGGTCCAGAGACAACAAGTCAAAAAATACTTGGCCGGGCGTGATGGTGCATGCCTATAATCCCAGCACTTTGGGAGGCTGAGGCGGGCAGATCACGAAGTCAAGAGATCAAGACCATCCTGGCCAACATGATGAGACACCGTCTTTACTAAAAATACAAAAATTAGCCGGGCGTGGTGGCATGGTGGTGACTGCCAAGTAGTCCCAGCTACTTGGGAGGCTGAGGCAGGAGAATCACTTGAAAGCAGGAGGTAGGGGTTGCAGTGAGCTGAGATTGGCCCACTGCACTCCAGCCTGGTGACACAGCAAGACTCTGTCTCAAAAAAACAAAAAACAAAAAACCCAGAAAACCTGTGAAATGCATGGGATGGACATTTTCTGCCACAGAAGCACAGATGCAGAGAGTTCTTTTGAGAAAGAAAGAAATATAAGCATAGCAAGACAATGAGTTAAAAAGGAGCATAGATACAGATATAGAGATGTATAGAAAGAAACCATATGAGATTGAGACAGGTTTTGTCCCGACATTCCAGTCCCTTCCAGACTGGAATTTCCATGTGTTACTTTCCATGTGTTACTTGAACTAATTCTTTAATTTTCTGCCCTCCATTCTAAACTGGAGGGCATATATTGGTGTCTGTTATTCTGACAAAGAAAATAATCCTAATTTATACAGGGAGTGAAATTCTTCTAATGCAAAACTTACTATTGAGCTGTGGCCAATGCAGCTGTTAACAACAGCATTAGCTTTCACTTATGGCCACCACTTGTCAGTTTGTGGATTCTACATACCAGGATGTACTCAAATTACTTAATAGTATTTCTACCTTGATACAAATAACCCTTTAAAGCATCCCAGAATCTCAGCAAAAGGGGTTACGTCTCAGGTCAGCTATTTCAATCCAACCAGAATTCTTTTCTTCCATTTCCCTGTGGGGTTTTGCTTAAAATCTTCCATGGCTGGGAAGCAAAGCATAAGAGAGTGAGCATGGATTTAGATTAATCCAGCTCTTTGTTCAAAACCTGCTCTGCAACGTTCCAGTCTTAAAATCCTAATTACTTAGCCTCTATGACTCTTTCTTTCCTCACTTGCAAATGAAGATTAAAATGTTCTACTTTATGGATTTTTTAATGGAGATTTTATGGAACAACATATGCAAAACACCTGCTCTACTGCCTACTCTATAGTAGATACTTAATAAATGTTATTCATTCCCAGCTTTTTAAGCAATGCATCAGTCATTCTTCTTTATGCTGAAACAGTGGCTCCTAACTATGTAGTCTGCAGTACCCCTATGTAGGATTAACAGACAGTCACGATGATGACTGAGTCAAAAAGCCTGAAATCAAATCCTAGACCTACAGCTTTCTTGCAGAACCTGTGATAAGAGAATGTGTGATAACTTCCTTAGATTCCTTTAAAATGAAGAGCTAGACTACTGCACACTGGAGATCCCTTTACAATGTGAAATATTGTCACTCTGATATTTACCCTTTAGGTTTTGATTTTATTTATGTTAAATAAAATATTATACTTTCCACTCTAAAGTGCTATTGGTTGGTAAACAAGTACTTTTCTGCACTATATTTCCTGTGGCAAAAAAAAAATATTCTGACTTCAAAATAAGTCATTGTAAATTTTTGAAAGATCTCATTGTCAAGTATCTTTGAACGATCAGACAAAAATCTGCCTCAATCCACGTAACTAGTCCCAGTTCTTCCTTTACCTTGATCAGCACCTCTGGTCCCAGAATAATATCAGGTGTGCACTAACTTGTTTGTCCCTTCCTAATTGCCTTTCCTCCTCTCATAATATGTGATAGCCACTCAGATGCTTTCCTTCATCTTAAGCCCCTATAGCCTGAAATTTTGTGATGCCATAAAGGTGAACTCTATTGGAAAATGAGATTCTGGCTGACAGTGGAACATTGGAATATATGATTGTTTTAGAAATGACTTTTTCTAATAGTCCATTTATGATGTTTCAGTAAACTGGAGTTTGGATAATTATTTTCTTGGCTTAGGCCTCTCCTACATGCCAAGCCTCACCCTTGCCCTCCCTCCACTTGCTCTCCGTCCCAGTCCCTAACTTTAATCAATGTATGCATTCATTGATTGATTCACTCCTTGAATATTTATTGAGTTGCTACTACATATAAAACCCTCTGTTAATTTCTGACTTGTACTTCAAAGATAAAAAATAACTGAACCTTGCCCTCAGGGAACTCACAGGCTAGTTGAAAGAGATATGATACACGTATATATGAAACCAAAAACTGAGGAAGAAATAATATCACGGCTCAATATTTTTCAAACCATAAATTGCAGTCCATTTGCAGGACATGAAATCAATCAGTAGGTCATGACCAGCATTAAAAAAATAAATTGAATAAAAATATTTGACTGAGTCACAAATTAAGGATACATGTTGTTTTGTGAAAGTTTTAAGTTGCGTGTGTGTGTGTGTTTGTGTGTAGGACTATAGTGTAATATGAAGGGTTTTTACTATGCATCTGATATGATTTGGTTCTGTGTCCCCACCCAAACTTCATTTCCAAATGTAATTCCCATGTGTCAGGGAGGAACCAGGTGGGAGGTGATTGGAGCAAGGGGCTGGTTCCCTCATGCTCATGTTCTCATGATAATGAGTGAGTTATCACACGAGCTGATGGTTTTAAAGTGTGACACTTCCTTGTGCTCCCACACACTCCATCCTGCTGCCTTGTGAAGAAGATGCCTGCTTCTCCTTCGCCTTCTGCCATGATTCTAAGTTTCCTGAGGCCTGCTAGCCATGCTTCCTGTCAAGCCTGCAGAACTGTGAGTCAAGTAAACCCCTTTCCATTAAAAATACTCAGTCTGAGATAGTATTCTTTATAACAGTGTGAGAACAGACTAATACAGCAACACACTGAAAAGTCTGAAGACACTAGCTTAGGAGAGAAACAGATAAAGAAACCCTCTCAAGCTTAATGTGTCTATGACTCAGCCACGAATCTTGTTAGGATGGTTTCTAATTCAATTCCTGTGTGCTGGGGACTGAGATTTTGTTTCTGATAAACTCCCAGGTGCTGATGTTGCTGCTGATCCACCCAAGAAGAAAAAGTGCTAGATGGAGAGACTATTTCCAGAGGAAGAACCTGAGGAAGTCCCTGAAGTCATTCGTTTGTGACTTCAAGTGCCTCCAAGGAATAAAAGAAAACATGCTTCTCCCTTCTTTCTCTCGTTTTTGCTTTTGGTTGATGGATAGAAATCCTAACTTACCCATTCTTCACTAAGGATTGTTGCTGTCCGGCTTCCAGGTGCTGAATGTTAAAACCAAGGGACCAGATCTGCTTCAGACCAGTTACTGTGAAAAGCTCCACTGTTTAATCTGAGGGTTGGTTCCCAGTTTTCCATCGTGTTTTAAACATTGGTGCCTTTCCATACAATGTCCCCTGCAATTAACAGCAGAGTCCTTCCTATAAAGAAGGTTTTTAAAAACAGAAGCAAGAAGAGTTTTATTTAGTCTACCTTCTACCGGCTACCACATTACATCAGGGTTTCACTTGCATTCAGATAGCTGCCTTGACTTCCTAATGGTTTTCTCTGCCTAAAGTTCCTTTTTTGTCTCCCTCTACCCGCCCCCTCTTCCCCTCTTAAACCATCCTGTACAGGGATATATTGATCAAGCTAAAATGACGCTTCCATTATTTTCTTTTACTGTTTAAAATCCTTCAGTGTCCCCCCCTCCCACCCATTGCTTAGGCAAGCTCTCTGCTCCTGCCAAACTTGTTTGCTGCTTCTCCAATGTCTTTCTTCATCCTTTCTTTTGACCTCTCACATCCTCCTCTCACTTTTCCAGCTATTCGAATCCTGCCAACTCTTTAGGTTTTAGGTTAAATCCCACTTCTTTCATAAAGCCTTTTTTGGAAACCCCAGAGGGAATGAATATCTCTGTCTCTGTCTCTCTCTCTCTCTCTCTCTGTGTGTGTGTGTGTGTGTGTGTGTGTGTGTCTTTCTCCCTTGCCCCTCTTTTGCTGTCTCATCTCAATAATGCCAAGCATAATTTGTGTACTGGCGTATGGCAGAAAAAGCCTGGAATTGGCAGGAGCAGACCAGAGTGGGGGCTGACCAAACTGGATGTGAGTGACAGCGGGCAAGCCACGTGTCTTCCCTGAGGCTCAATTTCCCCATTAAGATGAGAGGATCAGAGATGCTGATCTCTAAGTAATTGCACATGGTGTCCAGTATTACGTGTGTTTTGCTAACTTTGTTTCTTTAAAGTTCTCATTTTCTGTTACTGTGAAATGTTCTTAATTGTCGTTCTTGTTAGTATTGCGCTATTGCCCATCTTTCAAATTGTCATTTAATTTTTAAATTCTCGTGTTTTTGTTTTTCTTACTCATATTATAAAGAAACCTCATTTTATGGCTAGGGCAATGAGGCCCAGGGAGAGCCTGCCTAAGGGCACGCAGAGCAGAGAATACATTACTCCCAACTAGGGAGGGCCCTGTGCTCCGGACGCTGCCCGGCGTCGCTCGGAGTGGGTGCTCACGAATTATTTGTCAATTGATTGGAGGTTGCCAGGCCCATCTTGCGTGACACCTCCCTTCTCCCTGGAAGGAGAAACCCTTGGAGTCTGTTGGTTAACGGGAAAAGTGCTTTCTCTGGGAGGAAGGCGGGGCACGCCGGAGCAAGCTCTCGCTGGGAATCCGCACACTCCTTCACGCGGTGTTTCTTAACCCCTTTCTTCTCCGGGGAGTGGAGAGGGGGCTCAAGGATACTAGAAACCCGTCTCCTCGGCGAAGACACGTAGTCGCCCCCTCACCACCACGGCCGACTGATCTTGCGGAGTGGATCTTCCCCCACCCCACCCGCGTTTCGCTCGGGCTCCCTACGCTCTGCAAAGGGAGCAGGGAGCTGGAGGCGCCTTGCACACCAGTCTTCCCGGAGCTGCAGACAAGGAGCCCCGCGCCCTCGGGAGCCTCTCGGCGGCTTTCCCTCTGCCGCGCGGCTGTGCAGCCTCTCACCGCCGCCCCCACCCGCAGCTCGCCCTCGCTCCCCACCTCCAGCCCCGCCAGCCGGAGCGCGCACACCGGGGCTCCCGCACGTGGGCGCGCGGGAGGTGGCGGCAGCTGCTGCCGCTGCCGGAGCCCGAGCCCGAGCCCGAGCCGGAGCCAGAGTCCGAGCGGGAGAGATCGCCCTCCATGCTGCGGGCGCTGCGGCCGCTTTCCGCTCAGCCTCGGGTCCCAGGCGAGCCTTGCGAGCCGGCGGAGCAGCGGAGGGGAGGAGGACTAGGACGAGAAGAGGGGCTCGGCGGGCTGGAGCGAGCTGGGCTGTGAGCACTGGGGACCCGCAGCCTGGAGGAAGCAGCCCCGCTCTATCGCGCGCTCTCCGCTCCAGCCGCTACTGGGGGCTCCAGGCAGCGCGATGCCGTTGCGCTTCTTCTAGGCGGCGGCCGGCGGAGGCATTCCGCAGCCGCTTGGCCCGCACCGGCCCCTGTTCCGCTGGCAAATCCCTTGTCTATCCGGAAGGACGCACCCTGCCGCCCAAGCCGGAGCGAGCGCGAAGTCCGAAGTCCGCCCCCAGCGCCTTCAACTTCCCTGTGAGCCCCTCTCCCCGCCGCAGCCTGCGCCAGACCTGGGAGCGATGCGCCCCCAGCCGGGCGGCGCGCCCTCTGCCAACTCGCCACACATGGGATCGACTGCTCTCAGCTGCCCGGCTTGGAGTGCGTAGCCTTTGCCGCGTGGCCAGGAGAGGAGCAAGACACCGAGGCGTTTCGCGGTCTCCGCGAGCACCGGTCGGCTTGGTGGCTGCGGGATAGCGTTTATACCAAGGGGTGAGTAGCCTGCTAGTGGGGGCGCCCTTTACCCCCCAGCTAGTGGCTTGCACGATGGCAAAGACACGGGAGAAAGTTGGGTCTCCTTGCACCTATCTTGGGATTGGCAGCGGAACGCAACATTGGTTCCTCCAACCCGATTGCCTTCGGGGATTCCCCAGTTCCGTTGTATCTCTAAGTCAAGGAGGGAGTCCCCTTCCGCTTCCCAAGGAGAAAAGTGGCTCCTTAGAGCAGATCGCTGACTTCCTCACCAACGTGCCATTTGGGGCTTTTTCAGCCGCCCGCGCGTTAAGCTAGCTCTCAGCATAAGCGCTTGGAGATCCGCAGCCGCCTGGGCGCGCTAAAAGATCGTGGGCAACCTAGCCCTTAGGGTAGGCTAAACGCCTTCATTGAAGAAAAGGGACTACCGGTATATTAAGGAAAGACTACTACTCTTTTATACCAGACTACTGGTATAAAAGAGAAGTGTGAGAGAGAGAGAGAGAGAGAGAGAGTGTGTGTGTGTGTGTGTGTGTGTGTGTGTGAAAGAGAGAGAGAGAGAGAGAGAGAGAGAGAGAGAGAGAGAGAGAGAGAGAGAGAGAGAGAGACAGGGGCTCCAGGAAAGGTAGTTCAAGTAGGAGGCGGGAGTGAAATTTATTGCTGACGGATCCAGCACCCGGAGTGCCAGATTGTCTTGATCCGCGGAGCGGTGCAGGTTTAGGGGCACACAACGCAGGGTGGCCTGGCAGAGTCCAACAGGTGGCCTGCGCTGGCTTCCCGTGGCTAGGCGCGGGGGAGGTGAACCGCTCCCTTCCTGAGGCCCGGGCTGCTTCTGCTGCTTCTACAGGCGCATCTGAACATGGGCAAGGAAATGCGCTCCCTGCTTTCAGGCCAGATTTGGGGTGAGTGTGTGAAGCATCCAAATGCCTCCAGTTGGAAAACAGCGGCCTCATTGTGTGCCCGACTGAGGTTTCAACTTGCAGGCAACTGAGAGGCCATTCAGCTGGGCGGCGAGGAGTTGGCTGGTCCTCGGACTTGAGCCATAGCCTTGCCCGAGGTCCCTGGCGGCAGTATCCCAGCTCCTCCGGATGGGCAGTGAGCCAAAACTCAGAGTTTTGCTCCTCTGTACTCCACTGAAAGGAGGGGGAGTTGCAGGACCAGGAGTCCTGCTGGAGTTTATTCTTCTTTACTTGCGTCCTCTGTTTTTATCCTGAGATTCATACACCAGGGCAGGTATGGGCAGGCGTAAATATGATGTGTGCGAGTTGAGTGTGGGGAGAGGCCGAGTTAAAGAGCTGAATGGAAGAAACTAGAGAGAGAACATTCTGCGCCCGCCAGGGAGACAAATTAGGAGAGGGCGCGACTGCACTTTGAAAAAGTTTCACCTGAACTCACCGTTCTTCGGTGACTTCAGGTGTAGCCAAGTGCAAAATGTTTTAATTCCCCAAAGCTGTGGACCCTCCAAAGTAGCATCTTCTAAAATTGCCGCGGAACTTCATTCCTCGGCTTGCTCATTTCTAAGTTGGGAACGGTTATCTGCGTTCATGGGAGAAGCTCAGGAATGTCTATAAAGGAGGTATTTAGAGGTGGGTGTCCAGGAGGAAGGTAGAGCAGGTGTGTGTGTGTGTGTGTGTGTGTGTGTGTGTGTATGGCGTGAGGGGGAATTGGGGAAAAGGAGGAGTTGTCTGGAGCCCACATGCATAGCAGGCACCACGTTTTTACTTAGATAATGTGTTTTAAGGAAGTGGGTTGGCTTTGAGAAGAGTGATGGAGATTTGGGGAAGCTAAAGCTTTCCCAGCACACACTTGGCGCTGTTATGCCACTGCCTGCCCACTTCGCAGTGAGATGTTTGTATATTGGAAACAAAGTGATGACACTCCAAAACACAAAAGAACCCTCTGCTATTGGCGCTTGCCCCAGTGGCTTTCCCTCCTGGGAAATGAAGTTCTGGAGACCACAGCTGTTTAGCCTTGCTGCCTTTACTCTGGAATTTTGCTGCATCCTTCCAGCCCCAATTCAGTTTCCCTCCGAAGAAGAGCCCTCCTCACGCAGGGCCTCTGGCAGCAGATCATCAAGGGCATCTAAGTAGAGTGAAGTCCTGGACGTGTAGCACACACTGGGTGATTTAGCATGGGGCGCATGCCTTATCAGAAACATGCTCCCTGGAGTCTTGGAACTCGAAAGGGAGCCAGGAGCTGGGGGCCTAGAGGAGAATGGGCAGGCAGATATTGTGTATTACAAAGAGACAGATGGATAGTAGTACAGAATTAGAGTAAGAAGAAAAAGGAGAAAGAGAAGCAGCACAAAGAGGGAGGGAGAGAGGGGCAGAGAGAGATGACAAGAGAGGCAGAGATGCAGAGACAGGGAGGGCAGAGAGAAGACAAGAAAGTTACAAGGTAGGCAGGGCAAAGAATAACAGGAGGGAAGAGTGGCAGAGAGAAAGGGAAGGAAGGGAAAATAAATCTGAGGACAGAACAACGTGAGAAAAGAGAATAAAGAGAAAGGAGTGGGAAAAGGGGTGGAGAAGTCAGGTGGGGAGGAGGGAAAGGGTTAGAAAAGAGAGGTGCCCTGAAGTCACATGCTTTTTGTATTTAATTTTTGTAAACTATGCTGCCATTCTAAGGAAGTTGACAAATTCCATATCCTTAAGTAGCCAGCCCTTGATTAGTGTTTGTTTCTCTGAGGAGTCATGAATTACGCAGAAATTGGAAACCCACTTGGAACTCATTGGAGATGACATGAGTACAGGAAGTTTAGATTCTTGGTAAATGCACACATGCATAAGTGCATTTGTAGTCATAGTTTTTGTTTATTTGTAGTTTTCTGGGTAAATACAAGATGGAGAATTGAGGCAGGAGTGGTTCACTGACAATATTTGCCAGTGATTCTCTAACCTTGTTTTTAGAAAAATCTCGGGTAGCTTCTGAGAAACACAGATTACTGGACCCACTCCCTGGGAGCCTGTTCCAATAGGGACAGGAATGTGCTACTTGGAGTGCTCCAGTTGGTTCTAAAGCAAGTGGTCCCTGAATGGGGTTTTGATAAGTGTGGTATAGATGGTATAACACCCTTCCCTATTTTGTTTCTGGATTTCTTCCCAATAGATACTGTTTAGCATCCTATTCTCTCCAGAAAAGCTCATTTCTTGTGAATTTCTCTTGATAAAAGGAGAAGCCCAAGGAAGTTGCTCAGCCAGGCTTACCTTCATGAGCCTCATTAATCACTGTAGTTCCAGGGGAAGGCAGATGACTCCTCTGGTTGACCTTGTCAGGGACTTTCACAACTAACAGGTACTGAGGATTCCTCAGGGCATTGCCTTGGGCATTCTTTATACACTATCTGCCCATTTAACACTCCCAAAAGCTATGTCACAGGCACTGTTATTATCATCTGCATTTTAGCTGAGACTTTGAGAAATTATATAATGTGTCCCAGAAAAGTTACTTTAGTCGTTAGTGGCCTAGCAACTAGAAAGTACAGCGCTAAAATTTGAGCCCAGGTGTGGTTGACTCCAGGCTCTCTGGTCCTAATTATATACCATCATAGCTGCTAATCCTAACACCCCTTTCTAGGCGGATGGAGCCAAAAGATCCTTGGATATCTTTCCCAAGCATTCTCCCTCCCGACTCTACCATTTGAGAAAAACAAAAGGGGCTGAAGAAACTGGGAAGTGTCTTGCCAGAGATTCTACAACCAGTAGGTGCCAGAACTTGGACCAATACCCAGTGTCTGGAGTCTCAGTCCAGCCTTCTCACCATACCCGTAGTTGCCATGCCTGGCTAATCATCAAAGTCACATGCATCTTAGTCAAAACACAAGTTGCTGGACTCCCCTAAAGGCTTACTGAATCAAAACCTTGGGGCAGAAAGCTCAGAGATCTATCTTTTTAGTCCATGCCCCAAGCCTACATCTAGCTATACATTACCGTTTTCCCCAGTTGTTCCCTGACTTCTGGATTCCAACACTGGATCCCTTCCAGACAGCTTCAGGAGAACTCTGAGTCCCTCCTGCTTCCAGCCAAATAGAAATACAGATGGTAGTAGACTCTATGTATGTTGCAGCCCACTGAGGTGCAAGGAAACAAGCAGGCCTGCCTGGAGGCAACTTTGAAAGCTCTTTGAGAAGTGTTGCAATGACAATGATGTTTGTTAAACTCTTTTATTTTCCTGTGCCAAGTCAGAAAGCATTTATAGAAACATCAAATGCTCTTTCAGTGCATGAGTGTTGGTATTTGTACTTATACTTGACACAAAATGATGTCATGAGCCAGGCCAATGTGTCACTATGTCCAAAGTGTCAAGTTCAGTCTCCCAATTTAGTGGATCTAGCTGTGGTGTGAGACACACCCCTTTTCTCCCCTTCATCATTATGCTTTTGACTCCCTCGGAATAGATCAGTGCCTCATTCTGCAGGTAGAGGGGAGCTATTGCACACACACTCTATGTCTTTCTGGCCCACTTAAGCTGTTTTCTCAGTGACCTCAACATCTTTTCCCTTCTATTTCATTGAAAAGTGGCCAAAGGTACCAGACATCTTGTCCAGCAAACTGTTTTGTCATCTTTCCCTTTTCAGATCCAAATTTATCTTTTGAATGTTTTGCTTTTAACCCTGACCTCTTATTCAAGGATGGTAATTGAGCCTTAGGTAGCGTTGGTAAGCAACTCTCTGATACGTGTATTTTAAATAACCTTAGTCATTCTTGACTAGAACATGAACCAAGGAATACCTTACATTTATAATCTGCTTCATTAAATGCTGGATTTTTTTTTTTGCCATTTCAATGGTGAGAACCTACTTTCCTGGCATCACTGGCAGTGGAGAAGTAAAAAGTGAAAGAAAACACTTAATGGTTAAGATTTGGGCCCTGAGTGCAGATGCAGACAACTAGAGGTCAAAGCCTACCCTCACCTGCCTGGCTTTTATAACTTTGGTCTGGTGATTCAACTTCTTCAAGTCTTCATTTCTTCACGTACAAGTTGAAGACAGTAACAGGCTGTCTTACGTTGCAAGGATTAACCTC